TTTGCAGGTTTACAGCCTCTGGGTAAGTCTAGATGGGACTTGTTCCTAGAGACATTATTTTCTGAGAAGGAGTCTTGTCCCTTTCTCCTGTTCCCAGTTTAGGGTTCCCAAAGTCAATTCAGAGCTGTGTTTTAGAGATTTCTTGTGGACTTCGCCTTACATACATAACTCTTTTCATTTGTATATGAACATCAAGTTCAACACTATTTTCCACTGTCAATATGGGTAAAACATGATGTGGTCTGGTTGCTATGCAGACTCTTAAGTTCTTCCCAGGAGCCTGTCTCTGAAAGTACCAGCATCATTTTTGAGGACTCGGGACTCCGGAGCTCTCAGGACTTGGTGGAAGCAGGGCTTCCTGTGTGAAAGTACAGCACTAGGTCCTCATTCTCCATCATACCTGCCCATAGGTCCCAGGGGCCTTTAGAACTCTGCCTAGGTAGGGCTGGGCACAGTCTGCCCTGGAGGTGGCAGGGTGTCACAGTTAGAACTGAGAAGCTAGAACTAAATCAGAGAAGGGGCGGGACAAGGACAGAGACCTTGGGCTGTGGTTCAAGTTCAGGGTCAGGTCTTTGGACTTGGTAGAGAAGTGGGGTATGTGAGAGTTATCTCCCAAGACCTGCTCCTCCCACCTACTCTTAGGTCAGCTTAGAGAAACTGCTTGGGAAGGGGATGGATATCCCAAAGTAAGAACAAAAGACTAAGGCAATCTCAAACTTAGGGCTGGAGATGCCTGAGCCCCAACCCTAAGAATAACCTAGGGCAGAATTCAGTGGCTTCTGATAGTTGGCTAAAGAAAAGGGGGAGGGTTGTTGCAGCCAGTCCCCCTCCCTCCCTGGAGTTCCCTGGAGAGGGTTAAAGGAGGTTCTCCTGCAATAAATTTCCTGTCATCTAGTTATCAGGCTGCTCCTGGCAGATGAGGTCTCTATGGAAAAGAGGGTTGGGACACAGCATGACTGCAATAAAAAAAAAATCAAACAAACAAACAAAAAACCCTCTTCACCACTGAGTCCAGGCTGGCTAGAGCAGAGCTCATTATAAGGAAGGAGAACCTGTTGCCCCAGTGGGGACAGGACAGACAGACCAGATCCAGGGTGGTGTCTGAAATGTGGACCAGCCCCCAGGGACTCTACTTTATGTTTCTCAGGGCAGCAGGGAATGGAAATCCTTGAGGATACAGAGAAAGAAGAGGTTTGGATCAATAAAGAAAGCTGAGAAAACCTAGGGGATAAGGAGAAAGAAGAAACTCAACAGAGGAGGATCATAGGAGCAAGGGTATTAGTAAGGAAGAAAGGGGGGGAAGTGGGGGCACCTTAAGTGGGAAAACCATGATAGAGGGGGGAGACGATACAAGAGAGAAACAATGCCTAGCTAGTCACAAAAACCAGAGGGAACCATATTATTCCTACAATCTACTGACAAATTATACATAACAGATCAAGAAATATATCTCTAGATAAGGTTTATTTGAGACCAACAGATCATTACCCAAGATTTATCTGCATGACACACAGTAATTAAAAATGCCAGAATGGTGGAACTAACCTTCTTGGATGTTTAACAGACATACCTTGAGATCTATACTAATTGGGTCAGAGGGACACAAAGGACTCTTTTTGCTCCTTGCCCTCCTAGGTCGATTAGTTCCCAGGGATCATGAGCATCTCGCAAATTGTCCTGGAATGGTAGTGGGTCATCTGACCTCTTGATCAAGGAGGCCAAGGAGACCCCACCAGATGGGCTTGAACCAGTGTCCAGTCTATAAAGAGGAGGGTCAACACAGAGGAATCATTTCCTCCATGCTTCCAAGAGAAGCCAACAATGGTCGAGCAGGACCTTTGACTTATCTTCACATAGATGGAACTGGTAAAAGAAAGGAGCCAGGGGCTCCTCCCAAGCCCACGGGACCCCTGAGGAACAGATCCTCAAACGACCTCAAGAGTGAAAACAAATCAGTTTATCTGGTCCAATGGTATGTCCTTAAACACCCAAAAGGGAAGTATAACCAAAGATTAAAGGGGCCAATATAATTTCATAAGAGCACACATATATATAACTAAAAGTTACTTGACAAACAGCAAAGCCAGACAGGCGATACCTTCAGTCAAGTTCTTGGCCAGGATGGATAAAGGCTCTTCCAGACAGTAACCCAACATACTACTGGAAACATTAACAGCAGACCCCAATTCTATCCAAAGGAATACTGACGATGGATTGCCCTTGATAAAGAACAGCTGATCCTCCTGGAACAGGGACCTCTGGCTGACTAGATTTACCAGAAGGGCAGATAGGGGGGAATGGATGGGGGTGCTGACAGCACAGTGGACAGTGGCAGGGATAGCAGAGTATGGAGGCTCTAGTGGGAGAGGAAGGCTGTCTACCTGACGAGTTTGTATTCATGCTCAGATGCCGAGGAGCTCAGAAGGTGGGTGACTGTGACCAGTGATAGTCATGTATATAGAGATTAGAAATGCATGTGAAAACGTCTCAATGTCAAGAGCCCTGAAATGAATTTTTCTGTATGAAACTGTGTGTTTTGACAACGCAGTGGAGATCTTTTTTAAACATTGGAACCTCATTTAATTTTATGTCTTATAGAGTTTATAATGAGTAAAAGATTATATAAGTGTAATAATTCATCTGTAAACCTAGAAATGTACAGCCAATTTTGAAAGAGATGTACCCTAGCTCAGAAAAATGTTATTGAATAGGTTAATGCTGTTGTAATGAAATGCTTCTTTTAATTAAAATAAAAAAAAATTCCCCCCCCCCAAAAAAAAGAAAGAAAGCTGAGAACAGAGCTAATACCCGCACTGCTCCTCTTGACACCCTCCAGGATGATCCTTCTCTGTCACCTGCGCAGTCCCACATATCTTGCTGGACCCTATATGTTCAAATCACTCAGCTGTATACAAGGACTGGGTGCTCCATGTGTGTTAAATTGAATCATACTGAATTGACTTGACTGCTGAGGGACAGAATTTAATCCAAACCGCAATTACATCTTCTTAATTTGAATCTGCTAATTAGGAAAAGGCTGGATTGAAGTTGGCAGGAGTGCAATCCATCTTTTTAAGAGATTGTTCAGTTTAACAGAGAGAGTACCTGAAAATGCAAAGGACTGGAGACAACAGAACGTGATTACACCACTCTTTCTGGCATCTAGAAACACGGGAAGCATTCAGCCAACCAGTGACTCATTCCCAGCTATCCGTGGAAGGGACTCCCAAAGCTGCCCTGTCTAAACCAGCCCCAGAGGCCTAATGGTTCAAAATTACATGGCAATGTCAACTTTAAAAAGTAGTCCTTCCTTCTTTTCCATTGAAGAATTCTCAAATCTCTCTCTCTCTCTCTCTCTCTCTCTCTCTCTCTCTCTCTCTCTCTCATACATTTTCTTTAAGAATTGCATTTTTTTATAGGAAAGTTGCAAGAACAGCATAAAGAATTCTTGGATACACTTCACCCAGATTTCCTACCACTTTACTGAAATTCTATTTCCTTCTCTCTATATATATGTGCACATATATACACATGTATATATAAATGTATGTGTAGAC